TAGTGGGTAACACTGAGATTGGAACTGCTGCATACAACACAAAGTAAAAATGTCTTGATGGCAAAAGTAAATACGGTATTAATGTTCAACACAAGCGGCTTCTTTTGTCTGAGCCAATATCATCCAAATGTAATTTATATTTTGGTAATGAGAATAATGTATAAGGGCACAACCTGTTGGCACGTTTCAAGTGAAGGTAACCCAAAAGTAAAACATAATTTAACGTCACTGATACTTTACAGGTAGGTGACCTATTATTCTATTTTTCTGGAAAGCTTGATATAGAGCAAACCATTGAAAGGCCTATATAATAATATGAATTTTCCCTAAAGCTTTACCTTCATACTTTTGCAATAACATTTTTAGCATCGCTCCTGTGGGTGACTAGGACAACATTCTGAAGATGTGATTTACTTAAGGGTATAAGTACTTGTCCAGGCTTGTGTTCATTTGCACTACTGAATCAGAAGGACACTTATCCTAGTTTTTTCCGCAGATGGATTTGTTTAGAAAATCATTTTCAAAAACTCACAAACCTCAGTTGGAGGCAGATGGATTAGTAAGGAGTTAATGTCTAGCTCAGCAAATACTAAGTGCCAACAATGCTGTTGTTAATGGCTGCACTATAAGTGCATGGTCTAGTTATTGCTAGGTGTAACAGACAAGTTGCAATAGGAGCAAATAATGGGGAAATCTATCTTATGCCTATATACCTTGACATGCAAAGTGCTATTGGTTTGTCAAGACCACTTTAACACTTTTTCATCAATTATCTCTTTTTCTGTTCTGCTCGGTGCCTCTGAGGGACCGAGCAGAACAGCCGAGCCAAATGCCGCTCGGCGGCATTCGGCTATTCTCTCACTGCTGTTCGGGATCTTTCAGAATAGCCCGAACAGCAGTGTGAAGCCTGCCGGAGGTTCGGCTCAGCCGATCCAGATGTTGGATCGGCTGAGTCGAACTCCTTCTGCACTTCGGGTCAGCCGAACATGCTGAGCATGTTCGGCTGATCCGAAGCCACACAAAGCAAGCCGATGTACGGCTGATTTCAGCCGATATACGGCTGAAATCAGCCGTACCAGCCTGAAGTGAATAGCCGAACGGTGTTCGGCTCACTTCACTTCTGATCGGTCATTCACTCGGCTGCCCTCGGCAGCTTTGTGAATAGACCCCATAGTCTATTTCTAGGTTTCGTTCTCTATAAAACTTTTCATAAACATAATTTCAAGGCTGTTGTACTTGACACATAAATGTGCAGAGGGGTTAGATACAATTGTACATCTACATTCAATAACTTGATCCATATAAATAAGGAAATCTTATGGACGTTTGGATCTTTAAATTGGTCTCACTTACCATTTTAAGAGCTGTACTACATTGCCCCATAGCCAACATCTAGTTTAAATGGTGTATTGAAGTACAAACACGTTTGGGATATTGCTGTATGGCTTACATTAAAGTCATTTTGAGGTGAATCCCATTTTACAAGCTTGCTGTTTCATATTTTGAATGCTACACTTTATGCACACATTTGTGAAAGCTCTCTCTAGTGGTCATTTGTGTATCAGTGAATGCTATTACTATACCTGCTTATTGACCCTTAAGATGACCATATTTCGCCTTACAATGAGCCTTTTGTTTTCAGTCAGGGCAGACCTCAACCACAGACTCACACTAAGGGAGAGAGGAGTCATGTAACACTTTTAGTGTTCAGGAAGCTGTGCCTTCATATGTTACGAACAGATATGGCTGTCCCCATTCCCTTAAATCCAACATTTTAAAGGATTGAGAGTTGAGAGCTGACTATGGGGCAATTGTTTTTTAAAGGTTAACCTCACAGCCACTTTTAAAGGAAACCTAAACTAGAAGAAATACAAAGGTTGCCAGTGCTGATCACCTTCTTAGTATGCTTGTTGCCTGGCTTTTTTGCTGATCCAATGGCTTCAAAACGCAATACAGGCATCGCTCACTTTCAGACAAAGAGGCACATATCGGTAGCCTCCATATTTCTGCAGACAGGTTTTCTTTAAGAGTAAAAGTCATGCCTAACAGTTGACACAAGATACCTGTTATTACCTATTTGCCAATATTCCCTTGCCTCTGATAGTAGCTTCACTAGTGGGATGCAAATTTTCTGACAGGCTAATGCCAGTTACCTTCCTCAGTGCCCAAGAGCTCTCTCATTAGACAGGATGGCAGCTGATGGGGTTTTGCTCATAATACAGGCCTCAGTAAAGAGTCAAACTAGTCTCACAGAAGAAGAGGGTTTTCTGGTTACAAAAAGATAGGAGCAGGATCTTGTATTATCTCCTGTTACACGGGGGGTTTACTTTTAAAAGTTTAAAATGGCCAATGTATTTAGTTTAAAATTAAAAAGTCAAATAAATGTTATAAAGGAAATACTGAGTTTTGCACATGGCGTACTACGTATACCCTTAAGTAAACAATCTCCTAAGTACCTGCATTTATGCTTGTTTAAAAAAAGGGGACAAATTAATTTTTCTTATACAGTTTTGGAATTTTTATAGTTTCCAAATAGGAGATTCCACATCCATATTATTATGTATAGTAGAAGTGCTGGACACAGATTGCAGAAGGCCTCTTAGCTGCAAGACGGATTGGGCCCACTTCAGTTCTCATCACTGTCCCTGTAGTTTTCTTTTGATAATACAAACAGCAATGACTATGTTCCCTGAACAAAAAAGGATTTTAATTATGTTTTTTTCATGCCCTCAGGTACCTCTGATGTTAATTAAGATAAGACTTTCTTTTTTTCCTTAGGGACCCCTTGCAGCAACATGGACTGTATATGCAATATGCAGTATTGAATTCTAGTTGGCTAGGGGAGAGTGGGTATTTTTTTGCCAAGGAAAATTACATCAGTATTTTAACATTTCTTCTTTTCTATAATTTTAGCATTACCTGTAATTTGTATATCAACTTTTGGTAAACATTTTGGCAGAATGGCAAATCAGATAATATTTCACATATAAAATGGACATTGCCATAATCCTAGTAAACAAATGTTCATGATATCCCTAGTATAAATGTCTGCTACATTTGAGTCTTTTTTCTTTCTTTTTTACAACTTTTACCATTTTATCAATAACACTTTTTGTTAAACCCTTCCCCCCCGCCACATATTCTGCAGGAGGGTCACAAACCTGTCAAAATGTAATTTAAGTTATAAATCATAAGATCATAAGTTATTATTTTAATGACTAGTTAGCTTTCATATCACAAGAATTTTGTGGCCATTTTACGGAATCGTGCTAAATGTTGCCATGTTTTAACAGTAAGGGCCAACCTTCAGATAAGCAGCCTCCATGAATACCCTTACTAGACACAGGGCCTTACATACGGTTGTCCGCAATGGGATGCTGGATGGGAGCAGAAGTTACAGCATTGACTGTACATAGGCAAGAATATTAAGAATTAATCCAATGGTTATTCAGGACGTGTTTTAAATGCCACGGTTTTATATTTACAGGACAGCAGGTTCATAACCCGGCTAAGCAAAAGTTACAAGTTACCAAGCTTAATCAACTGAGAGCATGCTCCAACACTGCAGTACAAAAGCATCTATATGGCGCCTTCATTTGTACTGCAGAATAAACAATACATTTAAATATATCTTTAAAGCTGCCTAGCATCGCATTTGCATAGCAACATTTTTCAAACAACACTCAATTTTAACTTTTCCAAGTTTTCGTCTTTTTATCAAACAACAGCAATAGAGCATATGCTCATATATATGTTTTGGGACTACAGCAATCTGACCATTTAGTTAGGGGAAAAACCCAGGAAAGACAGGGAAAGCAATTCTTTAGATGCAAGGAGTTTCTTACTAAAACCTAGCAAATCAATGGTTAAAAACATACGATGTGTTAACAAAAAATGAATTCCAGACTTCCTGCACATTTTACATGAGGTAACTGATTTTCATTGGTTTTAATGGACTGCAGCGTACTCCCTTTGTCAGCAATCACACTCTTGTTATCTACCACAGGCTTCTTACTAGAACACACCGGCGGTGATCAAGAGATGCCATAAAGCACAGTTCATTTTAGAACAGTTATTAAGTAGCCAAAATTAGGGATAAATCAGGTTTCAATTTTACACTATACGGTAAATTCAATATTTGGCAAGAAAACGTTCCTACATCCTAATGTCCTGAGTAGTTCTTTCATTTTTTTGTTTTCTTTGTTATACAAACAAGTAATGCATATGTAGTCATGTTAGATTTACACACAACAGCAAAACTCAGTGCATGTGTCAAGGAGAAAAGAGTCTTGATAAGAGAACAAAATGCCTAACTGAAAGAGACTGGCGTCATGCTATGTTAAAGACAAATGCAAATGAGAAAACTATGGAGAAACTTTAGATACTTGCCTTTAAATAGACAGAACATGTGGAAGATAGACGATAGTGTCAGGATGGGAAAAAAAATAAACAAACAAAACAAAAAAAAAGCAGTCTGTGGCATTGAAGACATAAAAAAGGAATGTGTACAATAGAGAAAAGATCATTTCCAGTTTTAGGGTGTGAAAATTGAGGGATGTGTGGACTTTTTGCATATGGATATAGAACCTATGTACAGTTTACCTATAAAACCTTGATTAGCAGTCTTCAATGAAAACAAATGAACATTCTGTGGAAATTCCTGAGAGGTTTTTGTGACACGGGTCACTGAGAAGAAAAGCTGCTGTTGGGTCCTCACGGGTGTATAGTCCATCCCTGTTAAGATCTGAAGTTAGAATACATTAACAAGTAAAGGAGAACACAAAGAGGACAGTGTAACCACTGTAGAATTCCTTGCCTGAGCAAGGTATAGCACCATCATGAAGGGATCTCCTGCTTTCAGAGAGGAGGGAAATGCTTATAAAACAGTATTGCTGCTAAGACTGCTGTAGTGTGCACCAACAATGCTTTCTGGAGACAGTGGCAGCCAATGGCTGACTGGTGACTTCTGCTTGGCCATAGAGCAATATCATGTATCACAACTAGGAGAAATCTTTTCTTGGTTGTTCATCTGTCGTACATTTCTCGGTCATTTCTTGGCAGAAGTCCACTGTCACCGCTTGGTTGTTCTGTTCCAAACATGCCCCCCTCTCTGAGTAAGTACCATGGTCAGATCCCTCCAGTCCTCTACTTGCTATACAATTTTCAGGTATGTTGTTATAAACTGAGTGGCTTCCAAGCTGTATTGGGCCTTGATTGTTGCAGCACTGCATGTTATCTCCTGCTTCCTGAGCGGTGACAAGGCTTGGCTCTCCTCTTGCTGGTAAAGGGTTGAATGCAGCAACTGTGGGTAAATCCAAAGGTCTCAAGACAGGACAGTACCTGTGCAGGGCTTGAATGTCTTCAGGACTCTGGATATCTCTACATACTTCCTGGGACAGGCAAGAGAAGTTGTCCAGTAACTCTCCCATGCAAGCCTTCAGCTGGTTCCTCTCTGTTAAAAGCTTTTCCTTTTCACATACCTAAAAGGACAAGATGTGATATCATCAGACGGAAGACAGCCATATTCAAAGCTATTTTTACACATTAGTATAAGTTGATGCAGTTCTAGTGACAAATTAAAAATTAGGAACTGTTGATTGAATTAGGCAAACTGAGACAATAAAGATTTTAGGAATCTTATTTAATGGCACACTATAGTGAAAAATATTGCATTCTGGTATCTGCATGTGGTTAACACCTGTAATAATAGCTTCCTAACATCGACATGACAGCATACGAATGGGGCAGGGCTATACCCATTCGTATGCTGCCATATTGGTGCCAGGAAAGGAAATGATCGATAGGCAAGTATACAATATTCCGTTATAAAAGTAGTGCTTACAATGACCGGCTTTTATTGTTAATACTGTTTAAACCTTTTCCGAAAGAAAAGAACTGCAGCTGTAATCTAAAACTACATGTCCATCAAAAACTACACTGTCCCACAAGGTGACAATGCTTCAGTCATTTCACTGCTGAAGGAATAAAGTTGTCATTCTGTTACAAGAATTGGCCAGATCTATTGGCAGGATCAACATGTAGTAAAACTATGTAAAGGGGGAAAAACAAAACTGATGCTTCAATGCAGAAATAAACAGCTTTGTTTTTTTTTTCCAATTTGATCAGTCGGTCTCCACTGCCTAGTCAAAGTCTATTAGACTGTGTCATGGTCAAAAGTAATTTTTGTGTTATTTGATCACGTGGTCTCAACAACCCAGTCAATGTCCATGAGGCTGTGTAATAGTCAAAAGTAAACATGACTGTAAACAAAAAGTCTGTTACAATTCTTGTGTATCTCATTTTTCTAATGCCAGCTGTGTTTAATGTAGGATAAAGGTTGCATAGTTTCTAAATCAAGCTGGGACACGTGTTCAGAGCTTTGATTTTAAACAAGATTACTGAGAAACCATTAGAGCACATTCACACTAGATGCGGTGATTGGCATGTTCAGCAACGAACCACCACCAGTCACTGTTGTGGCACATAGAAATGGCACAATAGTTTCTATGCTGTGCAGGGACCTGAATGGAGTTTACAGTCAAAACAAACTAGCCAGCTCTCTAAAAATCTCCATTTTACTGGACAGGCTAGTGTGAACGGACGCTTAGGCTACACTCACACTTTTGCGATGTGTTAAAGAGGAACTCTGGGGAAATCAAAAATGTACCCTTTCAGTGGGGCTAACCCACACTGCAAAGGTTAAAGGGTTATTAAACCCCCTGGTGTCTGGTGTCTTTGCTAGCGAGCAGTAGATATATGCAAAAAGTGTAAAAAAACAAACAAACCTGCTTTAAAAGCGGTTTAAACTTACCTGCGTCTTCCCCAAGCGCTCCGGTCCGAAAATGTGAAAATTCTGGGGCGGCCGCAAAGCAACTTGGGGCGGGCGCATGCTCAGTTCACATTTTCGGCCGGGAGACGAGGAGAGACACAAGGTAAGTATATGGGCGGCGTGCACCCGCATGCAGATACCGTGGGACAGGAAGTGCCAGCAAGGACAGAAGAGTCGGCGATGGATCGGAGACCCGCAGCAGCACTGGAGGGACAGATGAAAACGACAGGACAGAAGAAGATTGGATTGAGAAACATCTTTTAAGTTAAGTCCCTACACTAACATTAGGGGGAGGGAAAAATATCTTTGACTTTAATGTCACTTGAAATGCTCATTTTGTCCAGGAGACTCAAATAAAGCAGATTTACTTACCTGATCCTCTGTCCCTCCGGGCGGCTAGACCAGTCCCTGCAGCCTCGTCTTCTTTGGGCTCTGGTGGTCTAAGGACCACTGACGTCATCAAATCTTATGCAGGTCCATTGACTTGCATTAGACGTGAGGATGCCGAGGGACATTCCATAGCCAGAGCAGAAGGGAAGAGAGGTAAGCACTGACCGCTGCAGGACTGAGGTACAGGTCAGTAGAACTGCTTTATCTGAGCCCCCTAGACAAAACGAGCACTTGCCCCTTGCAGTGTGGGGGTAGCCCTACTGCAAGGATAAGTTTTTTCTTTATTCCAAGTTCTTCTTTAATGCATGTGCGCTAATGTTTGTAATGCTGGTCATTACGGTGCATTGCAAAAGCATCAAACGTACCAAATACATGCATTATGCACCAAAAAGACATGCGTCTAACACAAGTTTTTGCAAGTTGCCACAGCAAAACAGTCTGGACCCAGCCTTAGTATTTTTAATTTAGATGTCTAAAGAAATGTGCAGCACAATTCTGGTTAAGATGTCATCTAATTTGAGTGTGCAGAAGTACACAATAAAAAGAAGCTGAAGAGGCCAGGCACTCATGTGGTTCTACAGGCACTTGATTCCCATTTAAAAGCCCTGGCTCTAGTAACTTCTGCGACCCATGTCTAGCACAATTTAAAACATACTTCTTAGAAGCTAAGATCTCATGAATAGAGATTGTGAGGCAGACTAGCTGGATTTCTCTAAAGATCCATTAAGCAGCACATTAGGCAAGTAAGAATATTAAAGTAAGAGTCATTTTCCCTTCACATTCCTCACTACCCCCTATCCCATACCTGCTTGCAGAATTCATCTTTCCGCTCTGTGTTTACAGATTTCCATTATTAACAGTTTATCATCTTTACCTTATCTCGCCAATGTGATACGTGTCCTCCCAATATCAAGTGACTACTTACCAACTTATGTATTTCACATTCTAAGTTTTGAATACAGTCGAGTTTCCTTTTCCTGCAGCGCTGGGCAGCTATCCTGTTTTTACTTCTACGCCGAACATCGTGAATAAATTCCAACTGTTCTGAGGTCAGTTTGTGCATCTTTATCATCATCTGGAAATCATTGCGTGGAAGATCTGTGATTTGATCAACTGGAAAGGGCAATTTAACCTGCATGACAGAAGAAGTATGATTAGCTGATAACTGGTCTTCATGCCATGTGTCTTTTGCTCCTTCATAAGAACAGCATTTGTATAATACCGGTGAAACTCGAATAATTAGAATATCGTGCAAAGTTCATTTATTTCACTAATGCAACTTAAAAGGTGAAACTAATATATGAGATGGACTCATTACATGCAAAGCAAGATAGTTCAAGCCGTGATTTGTCATAATTGTGATGATTATGGCTTACAGCTCATGAAAACCCCAATAACCCCAAATCCACAACCTCAAAAAAGTAGATTATTACATGCAATCAATAAAACAAGGATTGTACATAGAACAATATCGGACCTCTGAAAAGCACAAGCATGCATATGTACTCAGTACTTGGTTTGGGCCCCTTTTGCAGCACTTACTGCAATTACTTTTGCACGATATTCTAATTATTCGAGTTTCACCTGTATAGCTTCAACGTGTAGCTAAAAACCACAGAACCCAGTGCCCATACTTTAATCCGATGCTCCCTAATATGACACACAAACAGAGTTTTCTTTCTCGGACACATTACCCAAAGTCTTCATCCTCAAATGTGTGCGGATACATTGGACCAGACAGGGCGGGCTACTTTTCCATGGAATGGTCTACCTACATGTGCAAATATAGTTCCAGCCAACAAAAGAAGACATAGCAGCAGCACCTAAAATTACTTGTGAATGTGTCTGCACTGCAGCATTGTGAGTGAGCTATCACTGCCACGGACTGACAGTGCCACACTGCATCTTTGCTGACCGCCAGCGTGCAAGACCATGTAGGGGCACAGGTCTCCAAAGCAGCATTAAAGCTATGTTGACACCATGTCTGGACCAGATATGCAAACGCTGTGCTGTGCATTTTTACAGCGATTGTGCCAGTGCTGTTTTTTTTCCATGCGTTCCAGGGCATTCCAGACCAGAGAAAAGGAGACGAACAGTATTTTTTTTGTCTGGATCAGAACGGACTGCGCTGGTGTGAACAGAGCCCTAAAATATAGGGATAAATTAGGGTGCTTTTTTGGACCGGGAAGAAACTGTTCTGGTTTGGACATGGGGTGAACAAGCCCTAAATGAGCCACTAGTGCCATACTAATGTCAGTGTAAAGGGGGCATTTCTACTGACCGGTAGAGTCTATGACAAGCCTTCTGCACAGAACACCAAGGTAAAGGGGACCTTTCCTCACAGACCACTAATGTAAATGGGACCCTGGCACTATCCATTAATGCACAGTGAGCATTTATACTGACCAAGAAAACGCATATCCACATCCAAAATAGCTCCCTTTATAACAGAATATAGTATGCGGTCACTGCACCTAGGGAGCATCATTTACATCTCATTCATATATGCCTATATGGACAGCAAGATACAGGTCCCACAAATGTGACTAGGTAAGTCCTAGGTGCCAAACATCTCCTATGTTCCAAATCAACTATATAAGCAGTGTCAAACTGAATTGAAAATAGCTCTGTAGTCAGAGAGCTTTTTTTTATTCCCCCAAAGCTACTTTGGGGATTAGTCGTATTTGCTGATATATATATATATATATATATATATATCACATAGATACATACAAACACACACACGCTACAGAAATTTCATACATGATTTGGTGTGACAGTGACTTGAGCAGACTACTTTGCACAGACCCTTTGGTACATTTACACTAAGTACTGATGTAAGCAGAATTTTACATTCACTATCAAATTAACAGGGCGGCAGTTACACTGACCACCAACATAAGGGAACTTTTATACAGACCACCTATAAAAGTAGGGACACCGTTACAAAAGGGGTTGATAGATAATCTTCAATCTTTAATCTAGATGAGCTTGAGGGGTTGAAGGCACAGTTACTGTGCTGGACTCACAGGTAGGTCAACCTCTAAGCACCAAGGAAAATTTCACAAGCGGGGATGTACAGCAAGTAATGCTTTCTTGGCTTTCTTGCTAAGAAAGATTTGGTAGAAATCGCACTCCAAAAGAAAAACCCCATGTATATCTACATCATTAGTTAACTGCAATAGTTGCTGAGAAAAGTAGTCAAGGAAACTGCAGTGTTTTTTCAGGCAAGAGCTGTTTGCCTGCTTGTAATACACTCTCGAAAATCAGCATTTATGAATTTTTAGCTGCTCCATCTCCTATGTTCTAGGCAGTTTGAGCTGCTCCATCTCCTAGGCAGAGCCAGCTGTCAGTCACGCAGCTGGGCGGATCCAGACATAATTGTCGGGATCCGCTTCAGCTGCAGCGTCTCAGTATACTGAGCCTAGGGTGACAGGAGGGCGCTAGTTTGTGTCCTCCCGTCACCCTAAGGAGAACTACGGGGAAAAGACTTAACACCATAGTTCTCCTTTAAGGTTTCAAATAATGGGAATTTTGTTTAATATTAGGGTCAAAATGACCAACAGAGATAGAAAGGTCATGAATTCCTGGCAACATTGTTTATTTTAACTTTTTTGGGGGCTTGGAAAGCCCCACCAAAAGCCAATGTACCATGTTTCTAATATCAGACTTTAGTATGTTTATGCATCTGTATTACTTTGTAATATACAGCCCTATTCAGTAAATCTAGCCTCAGCAAACTGAAATCTAATGGGATGCTACAGGGTTATGTGTTGTACTCATCAGTTTTGCTATCCTAGCTTCTTTAAGATGCACCCCTTGCAGTGAACTAGATATTAAAGAGACATTACAGAGAATATCTCTGAATATATAAGCACTGAGCGTAATTTTTTTTGCAAAATAACTTTAGGTGATTTGTAAGATCCTTCAATATGATTATAAAGGCTTATGTGTTTACAGAGCTCATATGTGGACCTACCTTGCAGCCTGTGCAGAAAGTCCTGATGACATGTTGAGATCTTCATGTACTGTGTGATAATGTCATTTCATACAGTGATCTACATTATTTTATCCCATCCAATATTAATAATCATTAAGTCTTTTACAGCTCAACATTAGGAATTTGTCCTGTTGTCACTATACATTAAAATGTAACTATGTTTCTAGAAGTAAAATTTTGTACTACTGCTTATCCTAATGGAAAGAATTACTTTAAATTAAAATCAATCAATCAATAAATACATTGATAGATCTGATAACAAAGAAAGAATATAAAAAATACATGCATGCAGTACCTACATTTACCACTAGAAGGCACTAATTGCCTATGCTAAGGAACAGCCAATGTAAAAAACAAATCAGAAACTCAAACTATTTAAATAAAGAACAAAGTGTGAATTTATTTTCTGAAATCCAGCCATTAGACCTTATTGTCAAACTAATAAAGTAATTCATAGAATTCCTCATGTGGTTATCTATTTTAAAAGGATCAACAAAAAACTCTTGGTGAAGCCTTTAGATGAGTTATGTTATTTATCTCAACCTTATCAACAGTACACTGTGCTTCACTTTTGCTAATCAACTGATTTTATTTCTAAAACTGGCTCAAGCTATGGGTTTATTTCATACGACTTGTTCATATTATTGAGACACGCTTATGAAAGTTAGGTCATTGAGTTCTTAAAGCAAACCTAAAATAACTCTAAACTCCTGATAACCCCATATTAAAGCATGTGGTCTCGGACTGACTTTGTCCTAGATTGTAATAAGGAATGTGAGCACCATTAAATAAGAGTAAATAACAGGCTATTTCTTTAAAAAATATTCAATGGTCCTAAACGATGTAGGTTCAACAGCTTTAGCCATCAACCATTTCCTCTTCTGTCTCTTTTTCTGCTTGAACAAACTAGAAAGACATTAGACGCAAATTATATTTCCAGAGGTAGAGGGGAAAAGGGAGGATAACGAGGTAGGTATAACACAAGTCAGATAATTTTTAATTTCCCATCCTAAACATTGAATGTTTCAATATTGGACCAAATAATCCGGGAACGTTAAAGTGTAAATCTCATATAAACTTTAAAATGTTACTACATTGTCAGGTCATTTTCCATCTGTTTAAATCGGCAGCTTTCATTAAAAATATCTGGTGATCCTGTCATGAAGGTCCATCTCCATGTACCCATCTCCAAGTTATACTTCTACATTGTACCACCATTACACAGGCTTACCATGGACACTACAGGTGACCATTTCATATTACAGAGGTATGGCCAACTAACATAAAAAACAGCCCTGACAAATGCCTTGCAACCATCACTGGAGCACATGCATGTAAGAGCAGAAAGTGGCGGCAACAAGTCTGCAGGAGATCAGAAGCACTAATATGCAACAAAAGATTAAAAAAAGGTGAAAAATAAATGACTGATAAACTGCTAATGATACACAGTGTCACCGTGTCACAGTGATACCAAATGTCATTCAGTTAAGGTTCATGTGCATTTTTTTGAGTGGTTCTCAACTGGTGGGTCGCAACCTCATGCTTGGTGGGTCGCCGTGTGCCTTCCACTGGGCTAGGCAAGAGGCTCCTCAGCCTTCCCCTAATGCAGCACTGCCAGTTCTCGCGCCAAGCAGCCATTCAAAATATGCTGCCTGGTGCCGAGTGTCAGTCTACGATCGGATGGTATGGAATGGAGTTATGGACTGGAGGGACCTCCATCCATATGTGCATTGCTTACAGCTCCCTCACGTGTCCTGTGCCTGGACTAGAGTGACGTCACCTCTACAGGGCGCCAAGGGAGCTGTACAATGCACAAATGGATGGTGGACATGTGTGGCGGCAAAACATTTTAATTTTAGGATTTTTTTGGGAAAGCCAATTCCTTCCGTTATTCGGATGTGTTAAGTAATTACAAAAGAATTTTAATTGCAGCAAAGTGACATTAGAAAAAAAAAAGCGACTTGTTTTTTTAAAACTTTTGACAGTCCACAGAAACAATAAAAAAAGGGGCACCCAGATTCCTATAAGCCCCCCTGCCCACAGAGACCCCTGTCCTCATCGACATGGGGACAAGGTGCTTTTCCAGGGGATTCCCCCTGGCATAGCACCCTCCACATGTCAAGGGCATGTGGCCTGGTATGGTGCGGGGGGACGGTCGGGCTTATAGGAGGGCTGCTGCTCGGATCAACGGTCTGGGTAAGGGATCTTAGGGGGACAACACATTTTTTTAGGGTTAGGTATGAATTGGGAGGGGACTCAACACTGTTGTTTTGTACTTTACTGTTTTGGATTTTGGAACAAAGCGAATCACACTGCGAACGATCCTCCCGCCCACAGTTCAATAATCTGCACTGGTACCACAATGCCGTGCGTTCCAGTGAGGTGCGACTTGAGTTGCAACAAAATAACCAAGGACAAATGTGGGTTCTGAGGATCACACAGGTTGAGAGCCGGCAGGCAGTTGGTTGTTTTTTTAAGATAAGCGACTATGTAGGACTCTTCTGCAAAAAAAAAGTTTCTACCTGCCTGTCAGCTATTTTTATTTTTTTTTCTGTGTACTGGGCAGCACACATGTGAAGCCCAGTGTGGGGGCTCAATAAAGTCCTGTGCCAAAATTAAGTAACTTCCCTCTGCATGCAGGGGAGATACATTATCCCAGCCCGGCCAGTGAAGAGGCCAAAAACACTGAACATGGAAGAAGACCGGCTGAAGATGGAAGGGAACACAGACAGTGCAGTGCTGGAGGGGATCACTTGTAAGGGAAGTTGGCCATAAAGTGCTAACATGTCGTGTATACTTATACACCTCTGAAGGTTTTTTGTTTTTTTTCTTCGAACAACACTTTATTTCCGCTTTAAGAAAGATCAACAGTTAGTAGTATGAAGAAGCTCTGACATTACAGATTAAAGATTGTAGTGACAAAAGAATATTCTTTCATTTGGTGTGCCTTAAAAACTAGCATTTTACATAATCATAGCAAGCTAACTAGGTTAGAGTGCACAATAACAACAGATTAAAAGAGCAGCGTTGGCCACTCAATATCAGTGTGGAAGTTCTGGCTGCAGGATGTGTACTTTTCTCCCTTTCACACAACCAGTCCATAGCAGACTTTGTACCTCTGTAGTATATATCAGCTGAATCAGACACCCAAATAATCCCAGAGAACACTGCACTTTACACAAGATAACCAACTTCAGACTTGATGATGTGGAGTGTTGCAATGTACACAGATCATCTTGATTGCTTGGCAACTATAGTGATACTATATTGCTTAGGGGGGAAACCTTCTCTAATTAGTACAAAGGACATATAGTATTTACCTGTAGCTAGAATAACAAGCGTACAGTGTATATCCTATTGGAACTGCGTCTGCTTGCTTCAAAGCTAAACTCCAGACAGATATAAAAGACAAATGCAGATCTGTGCGTGCCCGCTAGCGGGCGCGCGCGAGCAGAAAAAAAATGCCGTCTGGAGACGGCAACCCGCCAATGCAGCAGTGCCGTCCGTCCGTTTTTTTACAACGGGCGGACGGCAAGTGGTTGATATACCCTTACATTGATTTTTTTTTTCCGAATGCAAACAAGGCAAATACCTAGCATGAGACAAAAAGAAAAAAAGCTGCATTCTTTGAATCTACCGAATATCACGTTTATTGGTATGTTCACATGCCAGTCACACTCATCCTCCCCATCCTTCACCCAGCTGCCTGTAACTCGTTTTACCCATTTGGACTGAATCTAAGATTTTGGGCTTAATCTACTAAAAAGCCAAATGGGCAAAAGGAGTGAAAGTGATAGTTGGTGGAAACAATTAGTGCAGGTTTTTGTTTTTTTGGTCTCACGTGACATTGGAGCACAAACGAGCTTGGTGCCTGCTTGATGCTTCCCGGGAGGGGAACCAGTGCAGGAATCGGAGCAGTGATATCTCTATTTAAAGTCTGAATACAAGTACCTAAATTTAACTTGGTATCAATCTCTTGCAGTCCCTGCACAGCAGAGCTCTGACTGGTCCAGGGAGAAGCAACACAGGCAGCCATTCAGTTGCGCTACAGTGCAAGGAGCATGCTAATAGGAGGAGAAAGAAGAGTAAGAAAGATGAGCTCCTCAGTCTACTGCTTCTCCCTTCACTGTTCAGTCACAGGTTGGGACAGCAAAGAGACCTGTAAATATTTATATAACCAGAGAGAAATTGTAATTATGACACCACTATTAGAGTAACGCCTTTAAAATATTTCTTTATTGGAAAAACACACTTAATTTTTCCAATAAAGAAATATTTTAAGGAGTTACTCTAATAGTGGTGTCATAATTACAATTTCTCTCTCTATATATGTGTGCAATTTGACATGCCCTGATGTACTTCTCACTTATACAAATGTTGTATCCATCTCTTCGCACAGCCCAATCACTCACATTTACAGAAGCTAAACTTCCTCAGGTGAATAAATACACTTTTTAGAACAAACAAGACACTTTATCATAACAAATAGATGGGGTAAAAGGAGACGGGGGTTAGTGTTTAACCCTCTCACTCATCCAGTGTAAACTAGATTTGAACACTGTCTGTTCTAACAAAGGGTAAAAGCATTGAATGTTAATGAGAGGAAGCTCAGAGTGTCCATAGTCTTTCTATGGGGACAGTTTCCTCTCACTTTGAAACTGTAGAGAAAATATTGCCAATCAGTGCAGATGAAGTCCTAATAGGGCACTTTGGGATCATTGTGGCCACAGATGGGGATGCAGGATCCTGGAGAGCATGCTGCTCTCCAAAGGCTTCACTCCTCCGGTGGGCATATTCCCTGGGGGCCCAAGAAATAGGGTTCCGCCAGGTAGGTGCACCACAGCCCTGGACCTGTAGGGTACTCTGTGGCTGACCCACAGGTTGCACAAAAAAAAACCTAAGTAAGAACTCTCAGCAGAGTCCAGTGCTAAAAGACAGATTACAGGCCTGCCCTGCCACTTCTTCTCAGTGGGGTCCAGGTATGGCTTCCATGGCAAAGCCGAGGATCAGCCGATCCACAAAGCTGCAAATTGAGGTCCTTCTGACTCTGCAGCTAAGGAAGAAACTTGCTAGATGAAGAAGTAATCTTGATAAAATAAAGAAAAGCTTTTCTTCTCTCACACAGGAGATGTCCGTTCTCTAAGGCACTAGCAGAAAACAGAGACATGCCAAGAGTGGGAGTGGTTATACTGAGCTGTCCTTTTCAGCTTCGTTTACTAGTGTCCAATGTTGCTCTTGATGGTTTTTCAATCATGTCCCTTTGGCAAAAATCGATCTAATGATCAACTTCTGGCGAAGAAATAGGGCCACCCACTGATTACATTTTGACAGATTCCTTCTCAATCTGCCAAAATTCGATCGGTGTGAACCCAGCTTAATCTTGCTCCAATGAAACAGATAAAAAAGGTAAGAAATCTTTTCTGGTAAGCTGTGTAAACAGGAACACATAACAAACATATAGAGGGGGTTTCTCAAATTTGTCTGCAAAAGTGGAAATACCCTTTAAGATTGTCTCCACATATATAGCCACACACATTTGGCTGGGACACAATTCACACACTGTCTATTGTCTAGACATTGATCAACAGTTGCTCCAGGTGTTTTTTTTTTCTGACTCTAAGAAATAAATGTATACTACTAGGGTTGGGGAAGGCTGGTATAGATTAACATATTTAGTGGTACAACCTGCATTAAAGGGCAATGTGTGTTTTTTGTAATAAATTAGTCCTCAACAGACTATGAGGCCAGGACTGGGCTGGAGTAAAATTGCCAGGTTAGTCTACCAAGTGGTCCACGTTGGCTCGAAGTGCATATGTCTACTGCTACATTAGAAAACAACGGTGCAGGATGTTCACACAAGGCAGAAATTAAAGTAAAAAAGAGAATTCTAAATAACATGATTTATTACTATACTTAAATTCTGTGGCAGTAGGCACTGGTCCCTAGTATTCTTTAAACATATGTCACTCAACTTGCATGACATATACAATTCCTAGTTAGGACACTAAATATACAAATATACATTCTGTTGTTTCCTTTTTTCCTTTCTTAACTACAAAACGATATCAGAATATAAATGTTCAATATACTTCACTATTATAATTAATATAAGGCATACAAGTCCAGTTTATAGGTTTTGGTTTAAATTAAAAAAAAAAAAAAAAAGACCCTTGGAAGCACATTATTAGCAAAATACTTTCAGGGCTACATAAACAAGTGAATGTGTTTCTAATAAAATGGACTTTTAAATAAACTGATGTTGCTGTCATTATGCAATTTTATGGGCTAAAGAAAACGGGCATGGGCCAAATATTGTCTAACAACTCAAAAAATTAGTTGGTGAACATTTGTACTCCTCTGTTTGTTCACTTCAAATTTGGCTTGGCAGTTTCCGTGTATGGGGGCGGCAAAGGCTGCTTTTCTTTTGGCTGTCACAGAGTATTGTGTCTGAGCACTGTAAAGGCAAAAAACATTACTTTGCTAAAAAGCTGTCAGTATTCTCAATGCACATTTCAGATTCTTTAAGCAACAGGCAAGGCACAGGTGTGGTCTGACCCTATCCTTTTTGTGTTTTGTAGGTTCTGTGACTTCTGAGAGTTTACTTTTAATTAGCTACTTTTTAAATACATTTTAGCCATGCACTTTTTCTTATACAAACATAGAAAAACAGGTAATATCAAATGTATGAAGATTTCTTACCTCATGCCCCCTGTCTTGTACAGGACATGACTCACTGTCTGCTTCTGAAAATGATCCAGATTCGTCACTTGAGTTTGTTCCATACGACTGCTCACATTTTATCTGTGGTCTGACTTGGTTATATATTGAGTCTACAATTGAACAAGCTTCTTGATGGTCGGTAGGTGGAAAACGTGGGCCTTGTGAACAAGGAGATGAGGAAAATTCACAGAGAGGGAGGCTACAAGGTGATCCACCACTTCCATCTTCTGCATATGAGTATGAGGAGCAGGAGCTTGATGTCCTGGTTCTGGTATCCAAAGGTGGGGAACGAGGACATACCTTAATTGGCACTGGGCAACTAGTGTTTGGCCTCAGCCTTCCTGGCAACGGATCTGCTACCAGCCCACTGTGGGAAAAAGTGTGAGAGCTAGGAAGAGACTGGCTTGCTCCAGCCCACAGACCCTTTGGCACATGCTCGGAAAACTCTTTATCCAAGCAGCTCATACCAGAATATGATTGCACCGGAGTGCTTATTTGGTCACAAGCACTTGAAGAGAAAATGACACTTCTTCTGTCCAGTTCCATCTCATGCTTAGGGGTGAGATCTGATCCAGAACCTTGGAGAGGGGATGCCATGAGGAAGTTAGAGGAATCTTTGTGAGGTTCGCTAGACAAATCATAATTCCCAGTGTAAGGGATATAATCAGTTTTATGGTCACCCTGAGTTGTTCCCTTTTCCACAGGGCATGAAGGACTTCTGACAAAGTGCTGATGCGAAGTGCCAGGTGAGTCTATAAATTCCTCCCCTTTTGTTCTACTAAATAAAGTACTTAGACTGGAAGGAGATGACACACAGTTAGGATTATCAATAATAGTTGGGCTGGGTTGTTTCCTGACCATCTCAATGTCCCCTTCTTTATCCCTGATGTCACTTTCATCTCCAGACAAGCAAAGCGTAACACTTTCTTCTTCATTATCATCCTCTTGAGGCTCACTTTTGATCTGGCTTATAGGAAGTCCTGATTTTGGGCCTATTTCCGAGTTATGTTCATTGTATGTGCTTGTAAAACCTGAGGTACTATGTGATGTATTGTAGACATTCTTAGTACAAGCCAGCTGGTATTTTTTATAACGTGGGTAGCGGATTACAGGATCCTTGTCTAAACTTTCCTTATTATCCCTTTGCATATTGGAATTAGGCAAAATGACTTCATTTCCATCTGTGGCTTTCTCACCTGAACCAAAGTTAAAAGGCTCATTGTGCATTCCTTCCTTGGGGCAGGATATCTTTGAGGTTTCAGATTCCATGGTTTCCTCTTCACAATGAAAAGTCTCATTGTGCACAAGCTGGCACGAGGTGTCTTTCTTACACAGAAACAAGCCATCCTCATTGTTTAGAAGCTGCGTCTGAAGAAAGCGGAAGCAGGAGTCCTCTAGGTTGTGGATACGCAGGAATTCCGCACATTGGATGACCTCTTGAATGTTTTCTCTGCTCAGTAATAGCTTCGCAGTGTAGGCAAACTGCAACAATGGACCAAATCCTCTAGCAGTGACCTGCAAAAAAAAAAGGGGAGAAAAAAATGAAAGAAAAAATAGGGAAATTGCCAACATTACCATCAGCACTGCAATTGTCTGAAGTCCCTCAAGTGTAGTGAGATAACCTGACAGCTACAATATCCATACATAAACACAGTAAAGAAGCAGTTAATCTCCCAGCAAGTCAACTCTACATTTAATATTTAATTCAGTTTTCTTCTACACATCATGCCATGGCTGCGATAGAAAAATAGACAGAAACCAGGCGGGATAGCATTAAATTGCAGTCCTTATGAGTCATAAAAACATGCTAAAAACAAATTTTCATGTGCCAGGTAAATTCATACTTTGTCATGGATGAAATTCTGATTATATATATAGATAGATAGGATATACACACATATATATATATATATATACACATACATACTGTTAAAACCAGATATTGAAATATGTATGTGTGAACCTTAAATGATGATTGATTTTCTATATTTTAATCTATCCAAGTTTGGAGATTCAGTTTTTTACTGTACTGCTGATTTTGAGTTTACAATTGGTAATAAATCAGTAAGCCTGAAAGGCAGACCTAAGTATAGTTGAAACAGTTGTTAGGATTGCTCAAAGAAGACTTGGCCTTTAAAATGAGTTTGAAGAATAAACCACATTACTCAGGACATAGACTATGATGCCCAAAATGGGATAGAAGGAGAACACATGACTCAGCTACTAGAGTATGGCACTCCCTTATGCTATATCAGAAAGACTTTTAAGGTAAACATCACATAGGTTATTTTAAAGTAAAAGCATGGATAAAAGGATGAGGGATGACCCTTTAACACTCACACGACACACACACTCACACTCATTCACACCACACACATACACGCACAGCATCAAGCCCACACCCCCATTCTCACGTTGAAATAGACAGACACCTGTTAGGACTATTTTTACTTACTACCTAGCCACGTTTCTTAAGCATCTTATAGATTTCTGCTGTAAGATATACTATATTTTGTCATCATCAAGCATCTTATAGACTCATTCTGTAAGATATACCATATCCTGTAATCATTTGCAACTTTTAAATTAAACACATTATGAACTTTATGCAACAACGGCAACAGTCTTCTATTATTGAACTTTTCCACCCTATGCTTCGAGAAAAGGAATTTGACATAAAAAATAATTTCGTGTCATTTTTCTTACACATACATACATACATACATACACACACATACATATATATACATATATAGATATATAGATATATCTATAGATATCTATCTATCTATATACACACACACATACATGCTATCACACATATTTGGCACAAGATAACTTGTTTGGAACCGAAATAGCAATGCCAGAAAGAATGAATTCAGAATAATTAGAGGAAAGTATAATCTTGTTTGGCTCTCAATTTAAATACACTGAGTGGCTAGATTATTATGACCACCTGACGTTCGTAGGCAAATTAGCTATAGTTTTGCGCTGAAGTTGCTAGAGGGCCAGACCATTATAAATAGGGAAGCAGGTTGTTTACCACGACAGTAGAAGTGATTTTTTTCTAAAGATATGGGTAAACAATGCGATTTAATACTATCCTCGCAAATGATCTCTGAACGCACTGTTCGCCGTACACTGCATCGTATGGGATATGGAAGCCGAATGCCTGTTCTAACACCTTTGCTTTATCTTAACAAGATAAAACGTCTCCAATTCGCACAGAAAACACAAGGATTGGACAGTCGAGCATTGGAAAAAAGTTATGTGGTCCGATGAATCACGTTTCCAGTTGCATCATGCAGATGGCAGAGTGAGAATTTGGCGGAAACAGCATGAAAGCATGCACCCCACATGCATGAGTACAACCCTTCAAGCTGATGGGGGCATTGTTATGGTTTGGGGCATGTTTTCCTGGCATGATTTGGGCCCTTTAATTTGTGTGGAACAACGTCTGAATAGCACAACATACCAAAGTATCGTTGCTGATCAAGTTCATCCTATCAACAAGACAATGCGCCATGCCACGGTGCTCGTATTGTGCAGGAGTGGTTTCAAGAACATGAGGGAGACTTTACCTTGCTTAGGTGGCCCCCACAATCACCAGATCTCAATCCAATTGAGCATTTGTGGGACGAAGTTGAAAGAGCCATCAGGCAGCTGGTTCCACAACCATCAAATCTCACAGAGCTGGACAGTGCTATTCATCAGGCATGGTGTCAGATTCCTCGCATCAACTTTCAACATCTCGTGGAGTCAATGCCAAGAAGAATCGCTGCAGTGTTGAAGGCAAAAGGTGGCCCAACAAAGTACTGATGGGGTGGTCATAATAATCTGGCTACTCTGTGTATAGTTTTTTTTCCTTCTGAAAATTGCTTGCGAGATCACAGATTTTCGTGATAACAGCCCAGGTATTAAAGTCATAATGTAATAAAGCATAACCTAATATACCACTGGCCCTCTTACCAGTAGTTTGGTCACTTAAAGTGACATTACATTCAGAAGTTAAATCTTAAAAATGCATTCAAGTACCCTATTAACAAAAATTTATCTTATTTGTGTATCACTAAGCTGTAGATCCTCTAATCATCTCTGAATTGGTTCCGACACTGTCCTTCCTTCCGGAGGGTAGCTACTTTTGTTCTCCATGGCTGCCGTGGTTGTTGCAAAGTAGCCAGTGCTACAATCTCACTCCCGTGATGGACTACAATCTCAATACAAATTAGTAAACTAAACATGATTGTAGTCCATCACAGGAGTGAGCTTGGAGTGGTGACTACTTTACAACACTCACAGGGACCATGGGGAATAAAAGTAGCCAGCGTCCAGAAGGACATACAATTTAAACATACAGCAACACACCAGATGCTTGCAAGCCTTGGAGTTAGTCCCTTTCTTAAGAATACAGCAACACACCTGCGGCCCAGACCTAATGCACCAGAAACTTAGCAATAGGAATGAACTAGTGACATGCATGTGCAGTATGCACAGAATTTTTATGTGAATAGGCTGTGTGGTGCCAAGTAGGGCTGCACAGTGAAGAGCTACAGAGCAAGGCTTAAGGTAAGCATTTAGCAATGTGATTTACACTAAGGGGATTGGGGGGATGCTTTAAAAGGACAACTTCAGAAAAGTTAAGTTGTCCAACAATTTTCTACAGCTGCTTAGATTATGACTATTTGTTGTGCCCTTCTACATGCAAAGAACGGATGCTCTGCAATATATATATATATATATACATACATATATACATACATACATACATACACACACACACACACACACACACACACACACACACACTTTATATTTATTTATCAAACTCCTCAAACTGTAAAACACAGTCTTAGTAAAATCTATGACATAAGGTTGCTTTTTACTGGAAAGACCTCAGTTGGCTTCATTTTTAAATTAGTCTGCAGAGTTGCAGAAAAAAATAGGAGAGACAAATCTAAACCCATACAAGCTTACAATCCAGAGGGTAAGTGTGGAAAGAAGAGGTACCAGAAATAAGTGACATGTATATAAGGTGAAAGTGTGTGCTTTATCAGGCAGGGAAGGATGAAGCTGTGACTAACGTATGTTAGATTATGAAGAGGTGAGTTTTAAGGGTATGCATTAAAGTTTCTGTGGCTAAGTGCTGAATGGCATGTGTAAGCAAAATTCCAAAGAAGGGGAGAGGCTAGTGAAACGTCCGGTATGAATGAGTGTATGGAATGAAAAGTTAGGACCGGGATGGTATTTGGAAATAAGTGAAGAAAGGTGTAGTGGGGCTAGATTGTAGATGGCTTTTTAAGTAAAAGTTAAAAGTTTCAACTGAATTGGAAGTGTGTGAAGAAAAGAAACATATTTGAAGACTAAATGGAGAGCTGGGTGGGTAGAGTAGCAGAGTTCGGAATTATCTGGACTGGTGTCAGTCAGTTTGTTGGTAGACCACATAAATTTAATAGTCAAGGGGAAGGGGAATATGATTGCTCTAGCATTTTACTCCAGGCGTAAAGAAAGAATGCCAGTTGCCTTGTTTTGTTTTTTTTTTAGAGACAACATGAGGTGCTTAGTGAATAAAAGTAAGATTTAAATGAAAAAGCAAAACCAAGTATTACTGCTAAGCAACAAGCTAGGGGAGTTGGTGCCAATAGGCTGTGAATAAGTGCAGGTTTTATCAATAATTACATTTAATGAACTGGGATAACAAGAAAGCAGAGAAAACAGGTGTATAGGAACACAACATGGCAGGGAAGTGAGATCAGGAGACATTTTGGTATCAAGTAGGAAGTAGTGGGAGAATTACAAAAATTTAAAAGTACATTGAGAAAGGCAGAATGATATCCGAAAGAGATTATATACTGAAAGAGAAAAGGATCTTTATTAGTACAAAAGAAAAAAGGGAACAGTCATCATGTGTTAGTGCCACAGTTTCCAGCTCTGGTAATGCCTGATTCAAATTAACTATGGAATTTTAGCACTTACATACATTATTATTATTATACAGGATTTATATAGCACCAACAATGTGCTCAGCGCTTTCATACTGTTTCTTCTGCAATAAAAGCCCCTTGCCTTCCTGTTCACAAAATTTTTTAGAATGTACACTGAGCTATGCACACACAGCTTAGTGTACATTCTTGGCATATATTGGTGCAGGGATAAATTAGCTATGGTGCACATATGCAGGAGTTATGTCATCCTGGCCAACCAAGATGGCCAAGGATGCTAAACCTGGATGAAGACAGAGCAAAAATGTCAGTGCCAACTACAGATCTCACAGGCAGCTCATCATTGAAGTGTAAGTGCAAGTGTAAACCTCTCAAGCTGTTGACCTTCTGTTACTATCAAGATCGTCATTAAGAAATGGAAGTTAAGGGAAACTGACTTAAAGACAAGAACTGCAAAGGAACCTGAAAGAAATGTAACTGTTACAAGAGTACTGGAGCATTAGCCTACTGTGTAGTGATTTTTGTTTAAATAAAATCGCATGGGAAAATCTTCAGAAGAAAGCCTTATCTTTGATC